TATATATATATATATATATATATATATATATATATATATATATATATATATATATAATATATAATATATATAATATAATATTATATAATATTATATAATAATATTATATAATATTATTTTATAATGTTATGTAATATTATATAACATTATATTATGATATTATAGTATTATATAACAATAATATTATTATTTTTATTTATAGTTGTAGTTGTTGTTCTGGGTGCCTGGGGACGGGGTGTATGTACACTGCGTCTGTGTGATATGTGCTGCTGTTGTTTGCTGCAGCAGCAGCAGCAGCAGCAGCAGGAGGAGCAGCAGCAGCAGCAGGAGCAGCAGATTTTAATATGGATTACTCTGTTGCTTCTGCATGTGATGCTGCATGCGTTTCTCCTTTTGCTGCAACCCTTCCCGAGGGTTTACAAACGAAACTCTATGAACGCGGGGCTGTCTTATCAGGTATTAAATTAGGGTTTAGGGTTTAGGGTTTAGGGTTTAGGTGGGGGAGGGGGTGGTGTATGTTTCAGGGTTTAGCGAAGGTCTAGAGTTTCGAGTTTATGGGGTTTATCGCTTACAAACGGTCTAGGGCTTAGGGTTTAGGGTTTAGGGTTTAGGGTTTAGGGTTTATGAGTGTTTTTCAGGGGGACAGAGACAGCGTGTGTCTCTCGCGATGGCTCTGTACCGCCTTGAGTGCTCTCGCAGAGACAGAGAGAGACAGAGAGAGGAGACAGGAGACGGAGAAGGAGAAAGAGAAAGAGGAGAAAAAGGAGACAGAGAAGGAGACAGAGAAAGAAAAGAAAAGGAAGAGAGAAGAAAAGAAGAAAAAAAAAAAGAAAAGGGAGACAAAAAAACTACTCTCCCCTCTCTCGTGTTTCTCGATGAAGCCACGGCGTCGCTCGACGGAGACACCGAACGCCTCCTCCTACACAAACTCAAACAAGTAACAACTGTCTCCTTTTTTTCCAACTGTCTCCGTTTCAAATGTCTCCTTTTTTTCAACTGTCTCCGTTCCAACTGTCTCCTTTTTTCCAACTGTCTCCTTTTTTCCAACTGTCTCCGTTTCAACTTTCTCCGTTCCAACTGTCTCCTTTTTTTCAACTGTCTCCTTTTTTCAAGTGTCTCCTTTTTTTCAACTGTCTCCTTTTTCTCAACTGTCTCCTGTTTCAACTGTCTCCTTTTTTTTCAAGTGTCTCCTTTTTTTCAACTGTCTCCTTTTTTTTCAACTGTCTCCTTTTTTTCAACTGTCTCCT